CGTAAAAATACTATAAATCATGATAATTGACAACATAAAATATTTTAAAAATGTTGTATGTGGTAGTCTTATTATGCCTTAAATAGCGTCAAAGAAAGTACAGCTTTGTAATAAAAAAACTTATTCCTTTATCCACACAAACAATCGCTTCAAAAACTCCGTTAGTAGCCCCAAAACATACCATTTATATTATTGGGCCCGTGCATAGCACGGGCAACATTATCTAGTATAGAAATAAAATAAAGACTACAAGTTTTTGAAACTTCTTTGATGGACAGCCAAAACCAATTAGTCAACCAAACTTCAGAAAAAGTTTCTCAAATACAAAAAAATCCAAACCTTTTCTTAACAACTTAGAAATACAAAATGTCGCCAGGTGTATGACGAATCCTTCAAAATAGTATATTTTTGGAGCATCTGATATGAGTCCTACAACATAGTCCAAAAGAGAGAGACTTGTGTCTCGGCATAGTAAAGGGAATTATTTCTTCTTCATTCTGCTCGAAACTTTATTCCTTCAACAAAGAGGTTGTCTATCCCAAAGTGACACCTGATATCCATTAATCGCGCTTCAACATCTCCGTCCTCCCCTGCATCATTGAAAAACTTCCCCATTTCTATTTCTATCCATCTATCAACTCTTCTTTGAGCATTAGGCCAACTAATTTTCCTGACTCTTCGTGGTTCCTCAGTCTCACGATTGACAAATCTAACAACTGAATTACCAATTACAAGACCGGAATATGAACTTGGAGCTAATTTGTACACTAGATACGCGGCGTATGTTGTTCTCTTTGACAACATTTGACTAGCAATCTTTCCATGGATATTTAGTGAGCAAGAACCCTGGATATTAGCCACTTCTGAAAATCTGCAAAGAAAAAACAACATTTTTTCTCAATATATTCATTTAAATTACTAGGAATGCATGTATTATTAATGATGAAATGATTGATAAAAACTTAGATAATATTGTGTCTAACAGTTATTATTGATTTTCATGAATTTTCTCATCTTCTGCTTTTGCTATCAATAATGAAAGATCATGTTGCTCGGATTCTTTTAATGACGTGTTTGAACCAGTAAAACAGCCTTATATCAGTGGTTAATACATGGTAACATTCATTAATGACTTCTCAAGGAATGGATTTATAGAATACTTCTTAAAGAATTCTGATGTATTTAAAAAGTTTAAAGAGTTCCAACATATTGTGGAAAATGATATTAGAAAGAGAATCAATGTACGAACAATGGGGGAGAGTACATATCACGTGGGTTCAATGACTACCTTAAGAGAGGATGATAATGCGACATTTGACTTGCCCAAGTATGCCACAACAAAATGGAGTAACTGAAAGAAAAATTAGACAATTGTCTGAGATATGTAGAAGTATGTTGCTTAGTATGAATGTATCAATAAGATTTTGGGCAGAATGGATGAAAACCATTGTCCACAACACGAACAGGCTGCAATAGGCAAGATTGGGATTCATTTCATCATTCGATAAACTCAAGAAGATGATACCTATTGTAAGTCACTTTCGAGTATTTATATGTGTGAGCTATGTGTTTGATAGTAACCAGAAGGAGAGAACCGAAGAAATAGAACAAACCAAGTAAATTTACTGGCAATAGTTTGTTCAAGACTCTTAAACACAATTATGCCAATAAAGTTGTCCGTATGGAGAGGAAAAGACTTCAGAATACAGTAGTTTTAATTCTTAAGTGCATACCCCAAATAACTAATCCTAATTACATATTTATACAGAACGCAATAGGATAAGACTGACACCATAAACTACAACTAGGAATAATAACTGCTAGACCAATTGCTGTAGCAAATCAAGGGAACAGTTGCTAAACAACTGCTGTAGCAGTTGTGTTTGTCCAGAACTCCTCAAATCTTTATCCTTTTGTCGATTTGATTAAAAGACTGTTTCTTGCATCTTTAGACGAACAAAGAAAAGGATGAAGGTGTTGCAACTCAACCACTCATCGAACATATAGTATTTGATGAAGCATCACCATGGCATTTTAAAGAAGTTTCCTACTATACTCAATAGCACTTGAGCAAAAGCTGCAAGAATAGCTCAAAGAAAAAGAACAGGGAAACAAGACAAAAATTAACCAACAGCAACTGGAAAATCCAAATCACTTGCACCAGAAGTATCTACTGTAAGTCACTTTGAAACTCCCGACGCATTTCAATAAGAAGTCCAAGAAGCACCACGACCACAGTAAGGAGGTCTTTATGACTGAAATGTCCAAACACCAAGTATATGGATGCATAATAGGTATTTTCCCTAAGTTTCTTACTATAAATATGTTTTTCTTTTCCTAAAAAGAAAACATAAAGTCTCCATATTTGGTTAGTCCTTTTCTTGTATGAAAATGTTTAGGACTCTATAAATAGAGGCTCATTCCTTCTAATTTAATCAGCATTCACAATGTAGTCGTAAGGGATTTGAGAGTTTTGTTTACGGGGGAATTTGTGGGACACAAGTTATTACTTGTGTGAACCTCTTTGTATTCCGAGTGAATTGGGTGAGGTTGTTTCTCTCTATATTTTGTACTCTCATTTTTATGAATTACTCATCTCTTTTGTGGATGTAGGAACGTTAGATCTTTGTGTCTTTTAGTATATTTCTCATTTGTCTTCTTATTCATGGTCTTTCGAGGTTTGCTTTGTTAGCTTTCGCATGACACCTAATTATTTCGGTCCTAACAATCTTTATGATTGAAATACCCAAACACCAAGTATATGGATGCAGAATTTGCAAAGGTGAGTACCACCTTTAAAGAAGATTCAAAGAGTAGTGAGTGGAGAAGTTCAAGTGAGGAAGAGGTTCATAATAAGCCTGGACATCAAAATGATTGCGAAATCTCGTGGATCGCTCAAAATGGATGCAAAGAATAAATTAAGTTGGTGCTGAAGGGGAGTATTAAAATGTCATCACCAACTCAATTAATATCTATGTTATTTAAAAGAAGAATGTAGAAGATTCAAGTACTTATGGTGAATTGAAGAAAGAACGCAAGAATGAGAGCTCTATAGTACAAAGTCTAAAAACATTCTAGAAAGTGCATTAGGTGTATTTCTAGAACATTCTTTGAATAGATTCTTCAACCACCACCTATAAATAGAGGTGGTCATTTGAGTGGTATGTCTACTCATGTAAGGAGTGTGTGCTTGTAGACACATGATATGAGATTTTAAGTTTTATGGGGTTATGAACTATTATTTTTGGTTTCTTGGTTTGAGATACATTATTATACTTATTAACTGAATTTGTTAATATAAATGCAGAATTTGAGCCGAAGTTGTTGGATTCCGCCAAAGCTCTAACTCTATTATGGCTTTAATGTGAGCTCAAGTTATCTTTGACATTATCGCCATTCAAAAAAAAAACTCTAGACTTTATAAGTGATTTATGTTGCTCTTGTTTCCAAATTTAGCATTATATTTAATTTACTTGTTTGGTTTACATGTATTTGTTGGGTTCAATCGAACCCGTAACTCTATTGTGGTTTCGTCCCCAAAAGTTGTAATAACATAGTTGAATTGCCTTGAAATTGGTTTGAACATAATAATAGTTTAAAAAAAACTCTAGACTTTATTAGCGATTTATGTTTTTCTTAATTTCCAAAGTTAGATTTGATGATTTAATATACTATTAATTTGTTTAGTTTACATGTATGTATATGTCGAACCCATAACTCTATTATGGCTCCACCTATGAAAGTTGTGATAAGTTGAAGTGCGTTCACTTTGGCTCAGACATTATGGTCATTAGAGAAAATCCCTAGACTTTATAAGTGATTTATGTTGCCTTTATTTCCGAAGTTTGCATCATATATATTAGCTTGTTAAGTTTACATGTATGTACTTGATGTTGATTCATCGTTTCCCTAAAAAGGACGTCTTGATTGGCTCAAATATGTTATTGGTTTTATTAATTTGTTAGATGCCCTTGTTGGAATTCAGAACATTTTGCCGCAAGGAAATAGCTATAATAGTCGATTTGATATAAACACTGATATTTACAATTAAATATATATTTTTTTTGTCATAATGGGTTTATCGCTAAAGTATAAAAATTGTAAGCACTAAACATTATATATACATTCAATTTATACTTTTTTTTAGAGTCCTTGTCTTGGCTGGCCAGTTTCAAGCTTGAATAAAGGAGGGTTCAGGTATGAATCCTCGTAATACAAAGATTATTGGGATGTGTGATCTTGGGGGTATTTGCATGCTTAAGAATCAAATAACACCCGCATTTCATCCAAGTTCAGAATTATTTGTTACTAATTAATAATAGTGTCGAGTCATATGAATTCATTTAGACTAAACAACATGATTAGTTGTGTAAGTGAGGTTAAATGAAGAAACGAGCGCTAAAACCAGCATTGGGAAGCACGAGAGGATCCAAGTAAAAGAGCGCCAAGAAAGGAGAACAAAAAAATGAAGAACAAGGCTTATCTGCATCCCCTCCGCGTCGTGGAGAGGGATTTTATTATTTGTTCGCGAATTAGAATTGGAGACAAAACAATCTGTATTGTGCACACATCGCGGAGAAGAGACGATTGCCAAGAATTAGATTTGAGAAATCACTCCGCGTCGCGGACCTCACTACCAGATTTGGCCGAAGTCAACAAAATATAAATAAACTTAGATTTTTATTTTATTTTTAATCTTTTTCTGGGTTTTAAAGAACGACAACTTTGGGAGCTTTTCCATCCGTTCTTAAGGTTCATTCCTAAACTCTTTTATGTTCGATCTCTTTATGTTATTTAAACATTGCATAATTGAGATTCTTGATATGATTAGCTAATTTCCCTAGTTTTAGGGCTGTGGCTGCTGGATGATTGTACTTTATTGAAGTTTTATGGATTGAAGTTAATTATCACATGAATCAATCTTGTGTTCTTGTTTTCATATTTCGTGCTTGATCACCACTGAAATAAACATCTTGTCTGAATTGAACTCGGGAGAGGAATAAGAGGATAGAAAGTGGGGCATGAGGAGCATGATTTTCTCTTATGAATTAGAGTTAATTTGTATCTAGGATAGGAATATACCTAGAGACCGTGCTTGGTTATTAGACGAGACAAAATCATAATGCTCGGTAATTGGTCCAGCCTATCCCCGCTTAACCATGTAGTTAGGCTGCCAATTATCGTAGGCGATTAGAGGTCGGGAGACCATAATCATATAATTAACCCTGTGATCATTGATTCGATAGTTAAGTAATATCCATTTTACAAGATAATATGCATAAATCCTGAAGTAAGCTGCAGCCCTGGACTTTACCTAATCATTGTTTAACCTTTTGAAATTGAATCGCATTAGTTAAGTTTTTAATTAGATTTTAGATTAGAGAAACATTCACTTCATTGTTCTTGATAACACTTGTTTTGAATTGAAAGTATTGGAAAGATTGACTTAATCTAATCTTGAGTCCTTGTGGGTACGATACCCGACTCTTAAAAAGATCCACTCTAATACTTTAACGACCATGTACACTTGCGTGTGCGATTGAGCGCAACAATGTGCTCGCTTCATAATGCTACCGTTGGAAATAAGTGAACCATAAATTCACTTACAAAGTGAAGTTTTTTTACTATGTCCGAGCCAGCTTGAATGCACTTCAATTTCTTTATCACAACTTTGCGGGAGGGGGGGGGGAAGCCATAATAGAGTTACGGATTTAGTAGGACCCATCAAATACATATATATGGAAAATTTTTATATAATGCTAAATTTGGAAACAACGGAAACATAAATCACTAAAGAAGTCTTAGAGTTTTTTTTTTAAATGACCATAATGTCAGAGCAAACTAAAATACACTTCAAAGCCATAAAAAAGTTAATGCTTTGGTAGAATCCACAATCTCAAACCAAGAAACTAAAATATAGTTCATAAACCATAAACTTAAAATTCCAGATCCACCTCCGACGACTTATTTGATTGTTTTAGGACGAAACTCAATTCCTTCAATGATGAGGCCACTTATTTTGAAATCAACACGTTTAACACCAATCAATCTATCTACAACAGGGCCATCACTACTTTCCTTGCTATTAAAATTTCCCAATTCTATCTCCATCCAACCATCTCCTCTCAGTTTGGGAAATAATGCTGCAAGCTTCACAATGTTGGTTTGTTCTTCAGTCACATTTTCATTCTTATCACTAACTAACATAATAGGTGAATCAATAGATTCAAGTCTACGGTACAAATCTACCACTTTGAACACCAAATAAGCAACATAATAAGTGTTTGGTGACAATACGTTTGTTCCTATTCTTCCACAAATATCCAACCAATATGGAAAGCCAAGATATGCCACTTCTGAGAATCTGCAAAAAGTATTGTCAGAAACATTTGTAAAGATAATTCTTTTAAAAAAACTTAATGATATGTAGGGCATTATCTCCTTAATAGGTTACATATTTGAATTTGAATTAGTGGGCTTTGGGTACCATATGGTTGAACTAAAAACCAATAAATTTTAAAAGATTGAGTTATCTATATTACTATCTATGCAATTTAACTTGTTATAGAAGATTTTTCTTTTTGCAATCAACTTAGTGTTGTTAAGAACCTGTCTGAGTTCCCATAGTATAAAGACTACTAGTGGTGGTGGGGAATTAAGAGCTTCCTATTAAGGTGCCTCCTTTAAAGGGCACGAACCAACTTTTCTTAACTGCAGAGGAATCTTTACCATTTTTGTTTTGTGCTAATTGACCCTCAATGATTAATAAGAAAAATATTAAGGGGTTTATAGGCTTGAGTGGGTTATCTCACCTAATGGACTTTTTTCAAAGGTTGGGCCATCTAATTAGTCTATAATGAGCAGGTTGATTAATGCTTGAGGAGGTAACTCAAAGTAATGGCTTGGTAGAGCCAATAGTGATGGCTTGGACCAAGGTGGGGGGTGCTAGATGTGACCAACCAATAATGGTGATTTCGATCCAAAAGAAGTGTCCATTGGGAATTGTTGGGCATAATTGGTTGCTCACAACTTGAATTTTATTTTTGCGAAGTCAGGACCAACTTCGGTCTTGCAACTAAATTTTTCTTTTGCATTTAGTATTTTCTTGAGTAGTACACATTTTTATTACTTCTTTCTTGAGCACATACTCATTATATGAGTACACATAAAACTCTAACCACCTCAATTTATAGGTTGCGATGAAAGGATTTAGTGAAGGTAGTATTCTAGAACTATAACTTCCACTTATTTCTAGAATGTTTTTAGACTTGCACTCAAGAACGTAACTTTCATTCTAGAGTTTTTCCTTCAGTTCACTACAAGTCTTGAATATCTTAGATTCTCTTTGAAATATCTTAGGTTTTAATTCAGTTCCTCAACACTAACTTAATTCATTCTTTGCATCCATTTTGAGTGATACATTATGAACCTCTTCTTCCTTTGAACGTCTCCACTTACTAATCTTTGAAGAATCTTCAAGGTTGTAATCTCCTTGATTTGGACTACCTTTACTAAAGTTGCATCTATATATTGGGTGTTTGGGCGTTTCAGTCATGTAGACCTCCTTAGTTATGGCTGTGGAGCTTCTTTGACTTCTTCTTGCAATATGAAAGGAGTTTCACAAGTTCCAATTTGCCATTAACTATTTTTTTTGGAGATATGTTGGTGATTTGGGGTTTTTTTTGCCTCTTGGTTAGTTTCTATCTTGTTTCCTCATTTTTCTTCTTTTAGCTTATCTTGCAACTTTTGCTCAAGTGCTGTCAATTCTAGTAGGGAGATTTCTTGGACCACCATGTTGATGCTTCGTCAAATTCCACATTTCTTGACACTTACATCCGACTAGTAGTCGGGCCACAACAACTTGATCCCTTTATTTTTTCATCGTAACTAATAAAGATGCAACAAACAATATTTTTATCCAACTTACGGTAAAGATGATCTAGAACGAGCATAGAGGATTCACATCTAACCTCTCAAAAGTGACTTAAATTAGGTATTGTATTATTGAGTTTCTCTAATGGTGAGATAAATCCCAATCTCGCTTGTGGCATCCTTTTCATGATATGGACAACATACTTCATGCATTTCCCCAAAATCTTGTTGTTACATACATAGTATGAATCATACTTCTGCATATTTGTAACATGTGTTTATATTTTCTTTTTCGGCTACTCCATTTTGTTGTTACATATTTGGGAAAGTCAATTGTCACCTTATTATCTTCTGTTTAGGTAGTCATTGAAATCACATGACATGTTCTCCCCCATTGTCCATACAAAGACATTTGGTTCTCCTTCCAATATCATTCTCCACAATAGGTTGGAACTCTTTAATTAAACTTCTCAAATACTATAGACTTTTCTTTTAATAATTAAATCCACACTACCTTGAGAAGTCATCAATGAATGTTACCATGTATGAGTAACTACTAATAGAAGGTTGCTTTACTGGTTCAAACATGTCTAAGTGCACCAACTCTAGTGGCTTATTATCTTGATACTCCACAGGAAAGTTGATGTGCTTTTTCATATTAGCATACAACACATATATTGTCTCCTCTAATCTCAGTCTGGGAAAGACCTTTTAATTTTGAGTGTAGCATCATGATTTTTCATTTGTTGCATCTTAGGTACCCAAGACGTGGACTCCATAGACCATTTGTCTCATGATTACTCCGAGTATTCTTCACATAAGTTATTTTGGCTACCATAACATAGATTGACTCTAATCTCTTTACCTCCATGATTGGTAAGCTTGTAATTTTTTTTCAAATTTCAATATATTTTTACGTCATTTGGTACAAACAAAACATAGTTTCCTGAGGTTGTTAGTTGCACATAGATAATAAGTTCTTCCTCAAACACGAAAAATGGTAGACATTTTAGTTTCGCTTGTCATGAATTATGATGAGGCATAAACACCATCTTGCCAATATGAGTTATTGACATTCTAGAATTATTCGTTGTCACCACTATTCAACTGCCTTTATCCTCACTCATGTTGATAAGCTTTTCAATATCATTGGTCATGTGATTGGAGCATCCCGAATCACTTTGCATAGTCAAGCAATTTCTCACTTACAGTTGCACATGCAAGCTCTTCCCTTTTGTCAGAGTGAGATGTGACAATCTCTTCTTGTTGATTGACTGCTTTCTTCTACCGAAGGTCTCAAAGTCCCAAGCTTGTTTTTCATTGTCTTTCTAGTTTTGAGTAAAAGTGGATGAGTCACCTTCATCTTTCTTGTAACAAAAATCTCTAGTGTAGTAACCTATCTTTTCATAATTGTAGAACTTGTCCCTTTGTCGGTTATGTTGTTGAAATCTTGTCTTGCCTTCTTGCTGGCTCGCTAGATTCTTTGATGTTTATTCTTCTCGTCCCTTCCTTGGTGTAATCTTCTCTCTTCACCATATTTCTGGTAGCCTTAAGGTTTGCTCAAGAGCGAATTACCAAGCAAAGACAATTATTGTGTGTCAATTGTGTCTCAATAATTAGAAAGAGAAAATTCTAAGAGGTTGGTAAGCTTCAATGGTCTCTCCCACCTAATAGACTAGCCTTTTCGGTTGAGTTGAATCTATAACAACTTGACAGTAATTTAACTTGTTAAAGTATCTTCTTAGTCTATTTTATAGGTTTCTATGGGTGTGTTTGGTATGAAGGAAAATGTTTTCTAATTTTCTCACGTTTGGTTGTCTTAATTGTTTTGGAAAATATTTTTCAAATCATTTTATTTTCCTAAAACTTAAGTAAAATGACTTTCCTTAAAAGAGTTAAGGAAAACATTTCCCAAAATCTTTGAACCTCACACCTCAACTTTCCATACTAACTTAAGTCTTACGTATCAATTCTTGATACTAATCCTAAATCTGACTCATGATTCCCGATTCTCAACTCGACTCTCAACCTCAATTTGAGACCCAACTCCTGAGTTCTAAATTAAGTCAGGATCAGATCTTGAGTTAGGATTAGAGGTTGAATTTGAGATCGGATCCCAAACCAGGTGTTAGGATGATGTTTTGAGTCGGTGTTAGAGTCGAGGTTTGGGTTGAGACTCGAGGTCGGATCTTATTTGTAACACCCCGTAGAAACTAGTAAGACCTAACGGAAGCTTGACGTAATCTAGTAGGTGAGACTAGAACCTCACATGTGAGTTGAAGATGTAAACTTGATTAAATGTTGTAATAAGGATTTTCAAGTTTAGATTTAGGAGTTTAGAGATCAAACGTCAAGAAACGACTATAACGTCCGGAAACTAGTAATTTGAACTGGTGAGTTCTAAGAGCCTTATCGTTGAAGTTTGGAGTGTTGTATGAAGGTGAAAACTTGTAAAAGTCACTCCCATACTTAGAACAACATGTTTAGGTTAAACGTCCGAGTACGAATCCCCAAAGGAGGGGTCCTCCTCAAGGACCCCAAAACAGTCCCCTAAAGCTACCTAGACAACAAGGTTTGATGACCTAAGTGGTGACCTACAGATGCTTTCCATGTCCTGTAGACCAGACCACGGTCTGTGGATGAATGGAGTAGGTCCATACTTAGTTTTCCTTGAAGCCTGCAACATTTAGAGCCACAATCCCAAACCACGGAAGCCAACTACGGCCAGTGGATTGATCCACGGTCCGTGGAAGGCTTGGCATATGTTGGACTGTTTTGACAGCTTTTCAGTTAAGTTGAGGATTAGTGTTTTAATTAGTTAATTAAGTGGGGGTTAAGGGAGGTAGGTTAGGTGGTTAATTAATGACTTATATAAACTTATAGGACCCTAAGCTAATTCATTAATTCACTTCAACTTAAGACCCCCAAATCAAAACCCTATTCCCTTTCTATCCCAAAGTCTTCTCTCCAAGAACACGATTGAAGACCAATGAAGAAAACAACCTAGGGGCTTGAAGATGGAGGTTTTCTCTTAGGATTTTCGTGGGTTTCTACACCTAAGGTATGGTGGTTTTCATCTATGGGTAGCTATTACCCATGGAGCCCTCTTAAAAGCTTTTAATTCAATTCTAGAAATCTTCAAAAGCTAGGGTTTCAACTCAACCCCATGGATTCCTTTCTAAGTTGTTCTTAAATATTGAACTATGTTTAATATTGGTAATACTACTGATTTTAGATAGTTTTAACTTCAAATCTAAAGAATCCACGAGTTTTCCCCAAACCCTAGCTATGGCTTTTCTCTACACAATGAATGTTGTTAGAAGTTGATTCAATTGATTGAATTAGAGTTGTTTATGATGTAATTAGATGATCTAAGTATAGTTCTACATGTATTCTTGATTACCCTATGAATCTAAGATGAAATTGACTTGGTCTAAGGTTATGTCATGAAAGAGGCAAATTGAGGGGTTAGATGTGATCTTCTAGGGTTGA